CTAGGGCCTCACATACTTTTTCCTCCCTGCACTGTGAATGTTTACATGTTATATTCAATTAAACCATGGCAACATCTAATGTTTGTGTAGTATTATGTTCAGCAGACTGTGTTCTTCTATTGTTGTGACTTAGATGACATTCAGAGCACATTTTATGCCCAATTCATGCAAAACTCCACGTAATCCCAAGGACTATGGTAGGAGACCCAGGAGGACCCCACTGCTGACACAGAAATATGGTGGGAGACCCAGGAGGACCCCACTACTGACACAGAAATATGGTAGGAGACCCAGGAGGACACCACTACTGACACAGAAATATGGTAGGAGACCCAGGAGGACCCCACTACTGACACAGAAATATGGTAGGAGACCCAGGAGGACCCCACTGCTGACACAGAAATATGGTAGGAGACCCAGGAGGACCTCACCGCTGACACAGAAATATGGTAGGAGACCCAGGAGGACCCCACCGCTGACACCGAAATATGGTGGGAGACCCAGGAGGACCCCACTGCTGACACAGAAATATGGTGGGAGACCCAGGAGGACCCCACCGCTGACACAGAAATATGGTGGGAGACCCAGGAGGACCCCACCGCTGACACAGAAATATGGTGGGAGACCCAGGAGGACCCCACCGCTGACACAGAAATATTGTGGGAGACCCAGGAGGACCCCACCGCTGACACAGAAATATTGTGGGAGACCCAGGAGGACCCCACCGCTGACACAGAAATATTGTGGGAGACCCAGGAGGACCCCACCGCTGACACAGAAATATTGTGGGAGACCCAGGAGGACCCCACCGCTGACACAGAAATATTGTGGGAGACCCAGGAGGACCCCACCGCTGACACAGAAATATTGTGGGAGACCCAGGAGGATCCCACTGCTACTCCTGCCACACTCCTTGTTTGCATACTAATGCGACTCTATAAGGCTTGGTTCACATCTGTGCAGGTGGTGCCGCTGCGGATCCGCACGAAAATCCGTGCAGCCGCACCACCCGCACAGAGGAATGCAGACCCGCAAGCGGGTGCCATTAGTTCTAATGGCACGCCGCCCGTAATGGAAAACGCAACCGTATTGGGAACCGAGGTTCCCGTGCGGGATGCGAAATATTTCGTAAGAAGTGCAGGGACTTCTTCCCTGCGTGTCCCGGCTTGGGATTCCATTCACCGGGGCTAAGACGAATTTTCTAAGTAACTGTGGCAAGGCGACCAATCAACTATTCACTTTTATTTTCAAAGCTTAACTGAACAAGTTGAAAGTAGCAGCTGATTGGTTGCTATGCTCCAGATTCTGTCCGCTCGTGTGTTAGTAAATTCCTTACATGATTCATACGTTGAGGAGTATGCCAAAGCAAAATTATGGAAAGTAATCGTGAGCAATTTTCTTGACCATCCCATGGAAACCTGAGAATCCACAAAGGAGATGTCAGGAAAAGAAAATGAAGCGAAGTATTTGTTGACAATTTTTCTAACCTTCCCAGGGATATTGGTGGCATACCAATGGGACTCTATGGGAAGGGCAGCAAAATGGACACTTGATCACAGTTACTTACCTTAAATTTTCTTTCCTGGCCTTCTGCTGTGACAAAACACTAATGAGAACTTATGCTTCCATGGGATGCTCAAGATAATTGCATACAATCACTTACCTTCATTTTCCTTTTCCTGCCAAATCTCCATTCTTGGAAGTGTATGGAGGAGTCAGGGGTCAGGCTTGGAGACCAGAAGCTATAGCAGTAGAGAGGTTCCCGAGTAGGTCACCCTGGCGGAAAATGCAGACTCACCCAAGGCACAGGGTCTAAGCACTATCCCGTTTTCGTCAAAGCTTCTGATGGTGGAGATGGGTTTTGTGTGAGCTAGTGCCAGGTCGTGGTCCTCAGGACCGCCCTTCCTTCTGACGGTGGAGATGGGTTTTGTGTGAGCTAGTGCCAGGTCGTGGTCCTCAGGATCGCCCTTCATTCTGACGGTGGAGATGGGTTTTTTGTGTGAGCTAGTGCCAGGTCGTGGTCCTCAGGACCGCCCTTCCTTCTGACGGTGGAGATGGGTTTTGTGTGACCTAGTGCCAGGTCGTGGTCCTCAGGACCGCCCTTCCTTCTGACGGTGGAGATGGGTTTTGTGTGAGCTAGTGCCAGGTCGTGGTCCTCAGGACCGCCCTTCCTTCTGACGGTGGAGATGGACAATTTTTTTTGTGTGAGCTAGTGCCAGGTCGTGGTCCTCAGGACCGCCCTTCCTTCTGACGGTGGAGATGGGGTTTTGTGTGAGCTAGTGCCAGGTCGTGGTCCTCAGGACCGCCCTTCCTTCTGACGGTGGAGATGGGTTTTGTGTGAGCTAGTGCCAGGTCGTGGTCCTCAGGATCGCCCTTCCTTCTGACGGTGGAGATGGGTTTTGTGTGAGCTAGTGCCAGGTCGTGGTCCTCAGGACCGCCCCTTCCTTCTGACGGTGGAGATGGGTTTTGTGTAGAGCTAGTGCCAGGTCGTGGTCCTCAGGACCGCCCTTCCTTCTGACGGTGGAGATGGGTTTTGTGTGAGCTAGTGCCAGGTCGTGGTCCTCAGGACCGCCCTTCCTTCTGACGGTGGAGATGGGTTTTGTGTGAGCTAGTGCCAGGTCGTGGTCCTCAGGACCGCCCTTCCTTCTGGCGGTGGAGATGGGTTTTGTGTGAGCTAGTGCCAGGTCGTGTGGTCCTCAGGACCGCCCTTCCTTCTGACGGTGGAGATGGGTTTTTGTGTGAGCTAGTGCCAGGTCGTGGTCCTCAGGACCGCCCTTCCTTCTGACGGTGGAGATGGGTTTTGTGTGAGCTAGTGCCAGGTCGTGGTCCTCAGGACCGCCCTTCCTTCTGACGGTGGAGATGGGTTTTGTGTGAGCTAGTGCCAGGTCATGGTCCTCAGGACCGCCCTTCCTTCTGACGGTGGAGATGGGTTTTGTGTGAGCTAGTGCCAGGTCGTGGTCCTCAGGACCGCCCTTCCTTCTGACGGTGGAGATGGGTTTTGTGTGAGCTAGTGCCAGGTCGTGGTCCTCAGGACCGCCCTTCCTTCTGACGGTGGAGATGGGTTTTGTGTGAGCTAGTGCCAGGTCGTGGTCCTCAGGACCGCCCTTCCTTCTCACGGTGGAGATGGGTTTTGTGTGAGCTAGTGCCAGGTCGTGGTCCTCAGGACCGCCCTTCCTTCTCACGGTGGAGATGGGGTTTTTGTGTGAGCTAGTGCCAGGTCGTGGTCCTTCCAAGAGATGAACAAGCCGGGGGTCAGTAGCTGATGCAGCAGGCAGGTAGGGATCAAGCAGAAGAGTAGTAGAGGAATAAGCCAAAGGTTGGTAACAAGTGGTTGCGGGTCAGGATCAAGTGGAAGTGCAGTCAAGGAACAAGTCAATATCGAATGGTAGTGAAGACAAGGACCGATGCAGGTACGCAAAGTAGCAAACTATCGGCTGGAGAGCACAATAATCAGGCAAACAGGAAGTGCAGAGACGTGGCTTAATTCATGACGTTCATGGGAGGAGCAAAGAGTTCAAGGTTCACCAGAAACAAGACACAAACGAAGATTGTTCAAAGGATCAAAGGAGCTGTCTAGTATCTCAGGTGGGACAGCGAGAAGATCTACCGCCAGATGCCGCTGAGGTCCCGGGTTCAGGTCTGGACACACTTAAAGGATTTGGTGAACCATTTTATGGGTAAGGGCATCAGATACGAGGGGCAGAGACATGAACTACTACAGGAAATCTCCCCATTGTGGGAGGGGCAGAGACATGAACTACTACAGGAAATCTCCCCATTGTGGGAGGGGCAGAGACACAAACCACTGCAGGAAATCTCCCCATTGTGGGAGGGGAAAAGAAACAAACTACTGCAGGAAATCTCCTCATTGTGGGAGGGGCAGAGACATGAACTACTACAGGAAATCTCCCCATTGTGGGAGGGGCAGAGACACAAACCACTGCAGGAAATCTCCCCATTGTGGGAGGGGAAAAGAAACAAACTACTGCAGGAAATCTCCTCATTGTGGGAGGGGCAGAGACATGAACTAATACAGGAAATCTCCCCATTGTGGGAGGAGCAGAGACACAAACTACTGCAGGAAATCTCTCCATTGTGGGAGGGGCAGAGACAACAACTACTGCAGGAAATCTCCTCATTGTGGGAGGGGCAGAGACACCAACTACTGCAGGAAATCTCCCCATTGTGGGAGGGGCAGAGACACAAACCACTGCAGGGAAATCTCCTCATTGTGGGAGGGGCAGAGACACAAACCACTGCAGGGAAATCTCCCCATTGTGGGAGGGGCAGAGACACAAACCACTGCCGGGAAATCTCCTCATTGTGGGAGGGGCAGAGACACAAACCACTGCGGGAAATCTCCCCATTGTGGGAGGGGCAGAGGCACAAACCACTGCGGGAAATCTCCCCATTGTGGGAGGGGCAGAGGCACAAACCACTGCGGGAAATCTCCCCATTGTGGGAGGGGCAGAGACACAAACCACTGAGGGAAATCTCCCCATTGTGGGAGGGGCAGAGGCACAAACCACTGCGGAAAATCTCCCCATTTTGGGAGGGGCAGAGACACAAACTACCGCAGGAAATCTTCCCATTGTGGGAGGGGCAGAGACACAAACTACCGCAGGAAATGGTTGTGTGCTGGCCTATGGTGGTGATGACTATATATTGGGGGGAATTTGCTGAGTCGGGATCTGGAGCAGTTGTGTATGATAACTAATCCAGCTTTCATTTTTGACACCTTCCTGAATAATCTGAAGTTCACACCTGATTGGTTACTGTGCACAGCTGCTGCAGTTTAAGGCGATACCCCCCTCATACGGAACGCATTGAGGGAAGGACAGGGAGTGGTCAGGGTGAGGTCTTGGATGGAACCTCAGTAGTCACCATGCTGGTCACAGCGGGAAGCTTTGTATCTGGAAATGATTTCTGCAGAAGTGTAGAGTAGAGGTTGGTGCTTCCGTTTCTGACCACCTTCTTCCTCTTTCTGTGTTTTGTGTCGGGGAAGAATGGAAGTCTTATTGTTGGCCGCATTGTGTCTCCTGAACGTGCCGGGTAAGTCCGTACCGTATGGAGGAATCTGGATCTGGAGGAGGCTGGGCACAAGGAGAACATCCAACTTAGACTGGCCATGAAGGCTTTCTTCAGAGGAACAATGGGCAGGAGACCTCCCCATGGCCTCCCCACCATTCTCACCATCACTGGTAGAGGGTTGGAGGAGTTTTTGGATTCTTCCTTCTCCTCTATACAAGTGAAGGATCAGCTTGTAGGGAGATCTTCCAAAATTTAGCAAAATTGAACAACTTCCACCAGCGGCCCGGAGCCTCTTCATAACCCCAATAATCCCAATTGGTGCTGGACATGGGGGACTCTGGGCTGCCAGGGCTGGACATAGGAAGAAATAATTGCCAATCATAGATTCTAACGTCTTTACTGATTCTTCTCCACAGGTCCAGGAATCAGAGGTGCCCACAATGCCTCAAGTAAGTTCCCCTTTCATATGGACTTTATAAAGTGGACCTGTCAGTAAGTGTGCAAATCTGTATGGATAGTCAGTGACTGTGCCTAGGCCGAGATGATGTCATCAGTCTGCTGCAGGCAGGGGGGAGCATTTCCTCAGTCTCCTCTCCCCCAGTGATCAGACTGTACATTGTGACTTTGTAGCAAATAACAAGGTGGGAGGCTGCAGCAGGGTCTGATCTGTGTCAAACATTTGTGAACACAGCCAAGGACTGCTCAGGTACCAGGATTTACATGATTGTGTCATCTGTGAACCAGCATATCAGTCTAGGAAGTACAAGTTTGCCCTGGATGATGCCTGAACAAAGATGGTGTGAAATCTCCCCATTGTGGGAGGGGCAGAGACACCAACTACTGCAGGGAAATCTCCCCATTGTGGGAGGGGCAGAGACACCAAACTAGTGCAGGGAAATCTCCCCATTGTGGGAGGGGCAGAGACACAAACTAGTGCAGGGAATCTCCCCATTGTGGGAGGGGCAGAGGGCAGATTGTGGGAGGGGCAGAGACACAAACTACTTCAGGGAAATCTCCCCATTGTGGGAGGGGCAGAGACACCAACTGCTGCAGGGAAATCTCCCCATTGTGGGAGGGGCAGAGACACCAACTAATGCAGGAAATCTCCCCATTGTGGGAGGGGCAGAGACACAAACTACTGCAGGAAATCTGCCCATTGTGGGAGGGGCCGACACACAAACTACTGCAGGAAATCTCCCCATTGTGGGAGGGGCAGAGACAGACTACTGCAGGAAATCTCCCCAATGTGGGAGGGGCAGAGACACAAACTACTGCTTGGAAATCTCCTCAATGTGGGAGGGGCAGAGACACAATCTACTGCAGGAAATCTCCCCATTGTGGGAGGGGCAGAGAGACACAAACTACTGCAGAAAATTTCCCCATTGTGGGAGGGGCAGAGACACTGACTACTGCAGGAAATCTCCCCATTGTGGGAGGGGCAGAGACACAGACTACTGCAGGAAATTTCCCCGTTGTGGGAGGGGCAGAGACACCGACTACTGCAGGAAATCTCCCCATTGTGGGAGGGGCAGAGACACAGACTACTGCAGGAAATCTCCCCATTGTGGGAGGGGCAGAGACACAGACTACTGCAGGAAATCTCCCTATTGTGGGAGGGGCAGAGACACAAACTACTGCAGGAAATCTCCCCATTGTGGGAGGGGCAGAGACACAAACTACTGCAGGATCTTTATTCCAGTTAATGTTCATTGTAGGATCACTGTCAAACCCAGAGCTGTTTTCTGGATTCCCGAATGTAACGCTGGGAAGCACCGCGACCATCCACTGCCTCTTTAAGAATGCGTCGCTCCCCGTCACCTTCATGCTGTTTCGGAATAGGTCAAGCAGAGGCAGAATGACCGTGTCGGAGGACGTGGAAGCCACATTCAATGTCACCATCTATAACCACACCAGCCTCGGGCCCTACAAGTGTAAAGTCAACAATAGCGCCACCCATGGGCTGTACAGCAAGGATTTCACATTTCTGCTGCAAGGTGAGGAACATGGAGGAGACATTCTCTCAGGGTGAGGGGTGCATCTATTTATCATGGGGTGATAACTACTTCTCCATCTCCGCAGAGCACACAGCCCATGGACCTGGACCCACCGGTGAGGGCAAACTCATATTTTATAATGTCACTTTAACTTGTTCTACTAAAGGTGACTATGTCCTGATAAGTAAAGTTCACCTGGGCCAAGAAAAAAAAAAAAAAGATTTAAAACAAGCCATTGCTGACCTCTCCAGCTGCAGGCGCTCTGGAATAATTCATCCTCAAAGATCTCATTAAAGGCACTAAAACTGGGACTCTTTGGGATGCATTCCAACAGCTTAGAAAAACACCCGCTGTGCGTTTACATTAGAGGGCTGATTCTGGACGATAGAAAGTCATTAGAAAGCCATAGGAAAAGAGTTGAGGTTTTAGTGCCTTTATTGTGAAACGTGAAGATGAATTTCTCCACAGTGCCTATAGTTACAGAGATGACGGAGGGTTTGTTTTCAAATGTTGTTTTTGGTAGATATAAATACTTGAATGTGTATAATCTGTGCACAGGGGCACTTTACTTCCTAGCTGAAGTTTGGAGGACTGCAGCCAGTGCCGGGGCAAGGTGAACCAGTACCCTGCGAGAAAATGCCAAACTGGGCGGGGCTAATAGTGGCGGTTTGTTTCAGAACGTCTGTAATGTGTTCTATAGCGCTGCAAATTCTGTCCACAGTAAAATGTGGCGCTAACAGTAATGAGGAAAGAAATGCCCCAGCACTGGTGGTGTCACAGGATGGAAACCAACAACTTCTGCCAATGGTGTCACTGGAAAGAAAATATGCCTCTGCATCTCTGCTATCATTCAGAAAGCTGGAGAAGAGACCGGCGTCCAGCACCCCCGTCCTTGATAGAAAACTGTGCCTCTGGCAGGTGCCCCTCCAGCCCCCCACTTTGTCCCACCTCTGGCTGCAACATCCCTCTACCAACCTCTGCTTGTCCTAGGACTGAGTAGAATTGTTGTGTAATGAGAGGGGCCCTCTGTTTCCTCCTGTATTGGAACTGTGTACTGTCTGTGCTCATGTTGTAAAGCGCTGAGCAAACTGTTGGAGCTCAGAAATCCTGTATAATAATAATGATCGTTGTCTTTGTCCTTCTATGCCCAGGTGAGTCAGGTGGGGGATGGGTGCACTTGGCCTGGATCATACCGCTCCTCGTCCTGGGTATAATAATAGTGGCCTTTATGTTCTGGAGGATCTCCAAACCTGCTGCAAGTGAGTACATTGGGCTGTTGGAGGAGGTCAGATGGACACTGACGCTGGAAAAAAACCTATATATATATACACACACATACACATACATACACACACATGTACATACATGCACACACACGTACATACATACACACGTACATACATGCATACACACACAGAGTATTTTTTTAAATAAACACGCAGTGTATTCACCAGAGCATATATCTCAGGAGGGAGGAGGAGCAGCAGACCCCCCACAGGGTGACCCTGCTGCTCTTTCCTATTCTGAAGTCTCAGCTCCCATAATGCAACAGGCATCCCTCCTATTCTGTGATATTCTGTGCTGACAAGACAGATATCGTCATTTAGGGTGTCAGGTGCCGGGGATCCGTATATTTGCGCAGTGATTAGCTCGGACGCGGCGGTGGAATACACAGTTTGAACTTTATTGATTGATTTGATCGTTACACTTCTGTCTGATATTTACTTGGAATATTTCCTGATTGTATTGCAGTCTTCTTGGGGCTGACATTTGTTTCCTCTCTATTGTGTAACAGAAGACGAGGCGATCCAGGAGGACACCACCTACCAGAATGTGTCAGCCAGGGAGACAGGTACCAAGACTTCCTCTAGTCTTCCATGGGAGGCTCCAATCTTCTCTTAGTTACTAAGCAAATGGGGCGAGAGTGACCCCTAAAGACCACGTTTGGGAAAGAGTTGCTCTCTGTGTTTTTGACTCTACATTTTGTATTTGACATTGTTGTGTTTTTTCTTTTAGGTTTTGCCATACACCCATCATACACCCGTCCCTTCCTACACCCGCCATACACCCGTCCCTTCCTACACCCGCCATACACCCGTCCCTTCCTACACCCGCCATACACCCGTCCCTTCCTACACCCGTCCCTTCCTACATACACCCATCCCTTCCTACACCCACCATACACCCGTCCCTTCCTACACCCGCCATACACCCGTCCCTTCCTACACCCGTCCCTTCCTACACCCGCCATACACCCGTCCCTTCCTACACCCGCCATACACCCGTCCCTTCCTACACCCGCCATACACCCGTCCCTTCCTACACCCGTCCCTTCTACACCCGCCATACACCCATCCCTTCCTACACCCGCCATACACCCATCCCTTCCTACACCCACCATACACCCGTCCCTTCCTACACCCGTCCCTTCCTACACCCACCATACACCCGTCCCTTCCTACACCCACCACCCCGTCCCTTCCTACACCCGTCCCTTCCTACACCCGCCATACACCCATCCCTTCCTACACCCTTCCCCCTTCCTACACCCGCCATACACCCGTCCCTTCATACACCCGCCATACACCCGTCCCTTCCTACACCCGCCATACTCCCGTCCCTTCATACACCCGCCATACACCCGTCCCTTCATACACCCGCCATACACCCATCCCTTCCTACACCCTTCCCTTCCTACACCCGCCATACACCCGTCCCTTCCTACACCCGCCATACTCCCGTCCCTTCCTACACCCGCCATACACCCGTCCCTTCATACACCCGCCATACTACCTCCCGTCCCTTCCTACACCCCGCCATACACCCGTCCCTTCATACACCCGCCATACTCCCGTCCCTTCCTACACCCGCCATACACCCGTCCCTTCCTACACCCGTCCCTTCCTACACCTGCCATACTCACGTCCAGCCCCCCCATCCTTGATACAAAACTGTGCCTCTGGCAGGTGCCCCTCCAGCCCCCCCACTTTGTCCCAGTACTGCATCATATACTACTGACCCTTGCTCTCTAAATTACATATTTTTAACTCCTGCACTTTGTATTACCACTGACCCCTGCGCTCTGCGTCACTTACTCTGCATTCTCGGTCACTCGCTATTGGCTCATCACTTAATACTGACCCCTTTACCAGAGTACAGAGGTCACTATTAGGTGATACAGAGTGCAGGGGTAAATAGTTACTCACTCCTGACCCCTGTACTCTGCTTTACTCACTCCCGACCCCTGTACTCTGGGATTCCTACGCCTGACCTCTGTACTCTGGATTCCTACGCCTGACCTCTGTACTCTGGGATTCCTACGCCTGACCCCTGTACTCTGGGATTCCTACGCCTGACCTCTGTACTCTGGGATTCCTACGCCTGACCTCTGTACTCTGGGATTCCTACGCCTGACCTCTGTACTCTGGGATTCCTACGCCTGACCCCTGTACTCTGGGATTCCTACGCCTGACCCCTGTACTCTGGGATTCCTACTCCTGACCCCTGTACTCTGGGATTCCTACGCCTGACCTCTGTACTCTGGGATTCCTACTCCTGACCCCTGTACTCTGCGATTCCTACGCCTGACCCCTGTACTCTGCGATTCCTACGCCTGACCCCTGTACTCTGCGATTCCTACGCCTGACCCCTGTACTCTGGGATTCCTACGCCTGACCTCTGTACTCTGCGATTCCTACGCCTGACCTCTGTACTCTGCGATTCCTACGCCTGACCTCTGTACTCTGCTTTACTCACTCCTGACCTCTGTACTCTGGGATTCCTACGCCTGACCTCTGTACTCTGCGATTCCTACGCCTGACCCCTGTACTCTGCGATTCCTACGCCTGACCTCTGTACTCTGGGATTCCTACGCCTGACCTCTGTACTCTGGGATTCCTACGCCTGACCTCTGTACTCTGGGATTCCTACGCCTGACCCCTGTACTCTGGGATTCCTACGCCTGACCCCTGTACTCTGGGATTCCTACGCCTGACCCCTGTACTCTGGGATTCCTACGCCTGACCTCTGTACTCTGGGTTACCTACTCCTGACCCCTGTACTCTGGGATACCTACTCCTGACCCTGTACTCTGGGATACCTACTCCTGGCCCTGTAATCTGGGATACCTACTCCTGGCCCTGTAATCTGGGATACCTACTCCTGACCCCTGTACTCTGGGATACCTACTCCTGACCCTGTAATCTGGGATACCTACTCCTGACCCTGTACTCTGGGATTCCTACTCCTGGCCCTGTAATCTGGGTTACCTACTCCTGACCCTGTACTCTGGGTTACCTACTCCTGACCCTGTAATCTGGGTTACCTACTCCTGACCCCTGTACTCTGGGATACCTACTCCTGACCCTGTACTCTGGGTTACCTACTCCTGACCCCTGTAATCTGGGTTACCTACTCCCGACCCCTGTAATCTGGGTTACCTACTCCTGACCCCTGTACTCTGGGACATCTACTCCTGACCCTGTAATCTGGGTTACCTACTCCTGACCCCTGTACTCTGGGTTACCTACTCCTGACCCCGTACTCTGGGATACCTACTCCTGACCCCTGTACTCTGGGATACCTACTCCTGACCCCTGTACTCTGGGATACCTACTCCTGACCCCTGTACTCTGGGTTACCTACTCCTGACCCTGTAATCTGGGTTACCTACTCCTGACCCCTGTACTCTGGGATACCTACTCCTGACCCCTGTACTCTGGGATACCTACTCCTGACCCCTGTACTCTGGGATACCTACTCCTGACCCCTGTACTCTGGGTTACCTACTCCTGACCCCTTTACTCTGGGTTGTCAGGTGGCGGAATCTGACATCTGGATCTGTTCCTTATTTTCAGGAAGACGGAGGAGGAGGAGGAGGAGGAGGAGGAGGTGCAGTACAGTACAGTGATCCTGACAGAAGGCAGCAGAGGTAAGTCCTCACTGCAGGGAATGCTGGAACTTGTAGTTCATCTACCATTGGACTGGATAAGTTGGTGAGGAACTCAGCAAATGTAACAGGGCATGCTGGGATTAGTAGTTCCTCACCACTGCAGGCATACTGGGGGCCAGTCCTGTTTGGGGGGGTTGGGACGTCTCTATGACATCAGATAGCAGGACTGTCCACATTCTAATCGCTCTTCTTCCACCAGACATGAAGTGGGCCGAGGAGACGGCGGAATACTCCATCATCACAGACACCCGCCTACAGGTGGGTCCCCACTGACTCCTCCCCTCCGCCCCCCATATACAATGGAATACAAAGTATCAATTATCCGGGAAATCACGTTATCCTCGGTACCCCCTACAATGTATTGTCAGAGCACACAGGGGCAATAAAGAGGACCTGTCATCATACAGGGGGGGCAATAAAGAGGACCTGTCATCATACAGGGGGGCAATAAAGAGGACCTGTCATCATATGGGGGGCAATAAAGAGGACCTGTCATCATACAGGGGGGCAATAAAGAGGACCTGTCATCATACGGGGGGCAATAAAGAGGACCTCTCATCATACGGGGGGCAATAAAGAGGACCTGTCATCATACAGGGGGGCAATAAAGAGGACCTGTCATCATACAGGGGGGCAATAAAGAGGACCTGTCATCATACAGGGGGCAATAAAGAGGACCTGTCATCATATGGCGGGGCAATAAAGAGGACCTGTCATCATACTGGGGGGCAATAAAGAGGACCTGTCATCATACTGGGGGGCAATAAAGAGGACCTGTCATCATACGGGGGGCAATAAAGAGGACCTGTCATCATACTGGGGGGCAATAAAGAGGACCTGTCATCATACGGGGGGCAATAAAGAGGACCTGTCATCATACAGGGGGGCAATAAAGAGGACCTGTCATCATACAGGGGGGTAATAAAGAGGACCTGTCATCATACAGGGGGGCAATAAAGAGGACCTGTCATCATACAGGGGGGCAATAAAGAGGACCTGTCATCATACTGGGGGGAGGGGGGCAATAAAGAGGACATGTCATCATACAGGGGGGGCAATAAAGAGGACCGGTCATCATACGGGGGGGGGCAATAAAGAGGACCTGTCATCATACGGGGGGGGGGCAATAAAGAGGACCTGTCATCATACGGGGGGGCAATAAAGAGGACCTGTCATCATACAGGGGGGGGGCAATAAGAGGACCTGTCATCATACAGGGGGGGGCAATAAAGAGGACCTGTCATCATACAGGGGGGGCAATAAAGAGGACCTGTCATCATACGGGGGCAATAAAGAGGCCCTGTCATCACATAGAGGGGCAATAAAGAGGACCTGTCATCACATCACAGAGGGAGTCAAACATAGTAGACATTAACCTGTCACTACACATAGGGGTGTTAAAGTGGACCTGTCATCACATAGAGGGGCCTTACAGTGGACCAGTCATCACATAGAGGGGCCTTAAAGTGAACTTATCATCACATAAAGGGGCCTTAAAGTGGACCTGTCATCATACAGAGGGGACTTAAAGTGGACCTGTCATCACATCACAGAGGGAGTCAAACATAGTAGACATTAACCTGTCACTACACATGGGGGTGTTAAAGTGGACCTGTCATCACATAGAGAGGGCATTAATGTGGGTCAGTCATCACAAAGAAGGTAGCATTAAAGTGGACCTGTCATTCTCTTGAAGCCTTGTTTTAGAGAAATCATTCCCCTAGAGAAGCTACTGGAGACAAACAGCTTACCTTTCCATTGCAATCCCAGAATTCTCCTGGAATTTGGTCACATGACTCTTTAAAAGGCGGATCAGACTCAGGCCCAGCCACCCACTGGCCATCTTTGTCCTGCCAATCCTTTCTGGTGGGGTCACATGACAGGCACTGGTGGGGGAGGGTTCCTGGATTGTGGAAGGGGCAGATCAGGGCTGAATTGGCTTCTTATGCTGTGATGAAGGCTTCAGCCAATCATTGTCATCCATCTGCCCCATGTTCACCTCTATCACCTTCAGTCCATTAGCCTTGTGTAATGTTGAGGGTAGATTCATTCATCAAGGAGGCATTAGATCACATATAAGGACCATGCATTTTCCTTGTGGCTGTGGTACCCGCACTTGGGACCTGCCATCAGTGCCCACCACACAGCTGCGGCAAGCCACGTGACTCCCAGAACCAAGGGATCTCCTCCATGGCAGATGGGTGGGAATACCTTCATTTTAATTTCAGTTCTCTCTGGACCACAAGACATATGGAGGATTCCAGTGCGGACCTCTCCAGCTAAAAAAGCTAGCTAGCCAGGTACATGGCATTTTCAGAAGGAGGTCAGAGTGGGTCATGAATGGGTGTCACTCTGTGTCAAGCTGGGGATGGGCCAGCAAATCCTCATGTCTTTTGTGAGCTGCCAGAAATCCTCAGGGGCGGGGACATTGAGCATTGTGTGATGGTTCCTTGGTAATAACTCAGCTTTTCATTGGTTGCTTCTAGGTTCAACAGCAACCGTAACAGCCGGTGAGGATCTGGACTAGAAGGAAGACAGTTGTGCAATGGAGAATGCCCCTCCCCCCCTCATCCCCATTGGACAAGAACTGTAGAAGCAATTTTGTAAAAATGTTACCAAGTTACTGGATATAAATGAAGTTTCCTAGAAAGGTTCTTTTGGCCATTCTTACAGATCCCTCCAAAGCCCCCTCCGAGCCCGCTTCCTGCAGGAGTCAGGTTTTCATGCTACCACCTACCCTGAGGTGGGAGGGCAGTTTTGGCCAAGTATGGCTGTTCAGAACCCCCCCTCTCCAGGAGTTTGCCGTCACCAGAACACGTAGACCTGCTCGGTCCATGGTCTGTGAGCTCTCACACACGGTATTTAGGACTGCCAGTTTCCTGGTACAGCTGTCTCTATGCATTAGATGGATAGATATTGGGGGCCCCCCCTTACTCAGACGTTATATACTAGCTGCATGGATGGATATTGGGGGGCCCCCTTACTCAGACATTGTATACTAGCTGCGTGGATGGATATTGGGGGGCCCCCTTACTCAGACATTGTATATACTAGCTGCGTGGATGGATATTGGGGGCCCCCTTACTCAGACATTGTATACTAGCTGCGTGGATGGATATTGGGGGGCCCCCTTACTCAGACGTTGTATACTAGCTGCATGGATAGATATTGGGGGGGCCCCCTTACTCAGACATTGTATACTAGCTGCGTGGATGGATATTGGGGGGCCCCCTTACTCAGACGTTGTACACTAGCTGCATGGATGGATATTGGGGGGCCCCCCTTACTCAGAAATTGTATACTAGCTGCGTGGATAGATATTGGGGGCCCCCCTTACTCAGACAGCTGCGTGGATAGATATTGGTGGCCCCCCTTACTCAGACAGCTGCATGGATGGATATTGGGGGGCCCCCTTACTCAGACATTGTATACTAGCTGCGTGGATGGATATTGGGGGGCCCCTTTACTCAGACATTGTATACTAGCTGCGTGGATGGATATTGGGGGGCCCCCTTACTCAGACATTGTATACTAGCTGCGTGGATGGATATTGGGGGGCCCCCTTAATCAGACATTGTATACTAGCTGCGTGGATGGATATTGGGGGGCCCCCTTAGTCACTGCATACTGAGTGGATATTGGGAGCCCCCCTTTAGTCATTGTATACTAGCCGAGTGGATGGATATGGGGGCCCCCTTAGTCAGACATTGTATACTAGCTGAGTGGATGGATATTGGGGGCCCCCTTAGTCATTGTATACTGAGTGGATATTGGGGGCCCCCCTTACTCAGACATTGTATACTAGCTGAGTGGATGAATATTGGGGGCCCCCTTAGTCAGACATTGTATACTAGCTGAGTGGATGGATATTGGGGGCCCCCTTAGTCGTATACTGAGTGGATAGATATGCGGGCCCCCCTCAGTCAGACATTGTATACTAGCTGAGTGGATGGATATTGGGGGCCCCCTTAGTCATTGTATACTGAGTGGATATTGGGGGCCCCCCTTACTCAGACATTGTATACTAGCTGAGTGGATGGATATTGGGGGCCCCCTTAGTCGTATACTGAGTGGATAGATATGCGGGCCCCCTCAGTCAGACATTGTATACTAGCTGAGTGGATGGATATTGGGGGCCCCCTTAGTCATTGTATACTGAGTGGATATTGGGGGCCACCTTAGTCAGACATTGTATACTAGCTGAGTGGATGGATACTGGGGGGCCACCTTAGTCGTATACTGAGTGGATAGATATGCGGGCCCCCTCAGTCAGACATTGTATACTAGCTGAGTGGATGGATATTAGGGGCCCCCTCAGTCAGACATTGTGTATTAGAGGAGTGGATGGATATGGGGGGCTCCTCAGTCAGACATTGTGTATTAGAGGAGTGGATGGATATCCGGGGCCCCCTCAGTCAGACATTGTGTATTAGCAGAGTGGATAGATATGGGGGCCCCTCAATCACACATTGTGTATTAGCTGAGTGGATGGATATTGGGGGCCCCCTTAGTCAGACATTGTGTATTAGCTGAGTGGATGGATATTGGGGGCCCCCTTAGTCAGACATTGTGTATTAGCTCAGTGGATGGACATTGGGGGCCCCTTCAGTCAGACATTGTGTATTAGCTGAGTGGATGGATATTGGGGGTGCCCCTTGGTTGGACATTGAGTATGAGCAGAGTGAGTATGTGGGGGGGCCCCAAGCCCCCACCCCACTTCATTCGCACTCACAAAAACAACAATTCACCAATTGAACAAAAATGCCAAAAAAACGAATAAATAAATCCAGTTTTATTAGGTCAGAGTTTTGCGGCAGCGGTCAAGTGCTGCATCAGAAAGGCACTCAGCTTGGAGATGTGCATGGTCTCCCTGATGGTGGTGTCTCTGCTGCGCAGATGAAGCAGCCCGCTCTGCAGCGTGACGTCACTGACCAGCGCGGTGAACAGGACGCCCATCTCATCGTACCTGGAAGGGGAAGAGGACGCGAGCGGCTCAGAGCCAACACTAGGACTGCAGCCACAACTATCCCACACCTACAGACTGAGCCTTGCTGCTCAGCACCACATCCACCCAATTGATTTTATCTCAGCAGTCATGGGTGCTGCTACATGTCCTGTTTCCTGTACAGATGACCAATCAGAGGGAGAATCTACAGATCTGTATATGAAATGGCAGCATGAAAATACAGGAACCCTTAGGTTGTATCAGGTAAGGGGGACATAAAATCGGCCACAAGTGTGTATGTGCTGCTGGATGATTCCTTTAAGAGTCATATTATGGAGAACACCCCAAAGTGGGCAGGTACAGAGTGGAAGACGTGGGGGGGGGGGGGGGGGGTAACACCAGACACCACCTACCAGTAGAACAACACTTTGCGCGGACTGACACATGAGGGTCGTTGTACAAAACATTCATTGCGCGGTTGTCAGGAACATTGACTCAAATGTCCCGTATTCATTCCAATAGATGAATGCCTGCATCTTCAGCTCCATCTAGTGGCCATAATGCAGTATAGGTTTCTCACTGAGGTATTTCAGAAAACAATACCGCATTTTGGCCACTAGATGGAGCTGACGATGCAGGCATTAATCTCTTGGCTAAATTACGGGGACATTGTCATTCATCTTGAACGAACGCTCCTGACATTCGTGCAACGAACGGTTTATTGATGGACCTCTTGAATTGCAGGCATTGATTAACCACTTTTTGCCGGTGCCTCCCAGCCCTTTAAGAGTTTCAGAAGATGGGAGGGCGGGGGGGTTTTAGGGTCATGTGACCGCCGTGACAGTGAATCACATGATCAGAAAAGGTCCCAATCAAAAAGGGAGATCAGGACCTCTTCATGAGTCAGTGACACGTGCTGGGAGCATGCAGGGAGCGCTCTCTGCACATATGTATTTTCTAATTGCATGCAAATATGTGGCCGCTCGGCGTTGAGGCGTTAAGCACCCTGAGCTCATGGAGGTCCCATACTAGGGCCAATTTAGACAGCAGCCAATAAGACTCCCAGCGTGTCTTTGGCGTGTCGGAGGAAAACCCATGTAAGCACAAGAGGAACATGCAAACTCCATGCAGATAGTGTCCTGCCAGGATTCCAACCGAACACCCCCATTGCTGCTAAGCACTAGGCACAATGCTGCCCATCATTTTTAGTTTTGATGACAAAAGGGGTGGAGCCTGTATGAAATGCGCCTGCAACCCCCGACCAAGGTGGCACCTATCACGCGGTTACCCATCACTCACCTGGTGAACAGCTGCTCCATAGGAGTTTGTAACGTTTCCAGGTACCCCGGCCAGATGGAGATTCCCCTTCCCTGGAGCTCACTACACAGACCCTGACACACCTAGGAGACAGAGACCAGCGTGGTCAGTCACATGCTACATTTCAGCCAATCACCATCCGCAGAAGAGCACCCTCTACAGTCCACATACAGTCCATACACCCCCACCCCAATATATATGCATTGTGTACAGACCAGTCGCAGGTCCACGGCCGGCCCTTTCCCCATGTCTACGGCCACCTTGATGGGGGCCAGCGATGGGTGAATCTTCAGGACCTAAAAAGACAAGAAGGACGGAAATAAAGGAACAGAAATAAAAAGATACAATGTTGTGACGTGGGATCACTGAGGGATCGCTCACCGCCCGCCTCTGCTCCTTCCCCCGCGGAGCTGTGTTCTCCGTCACCTGCAGGGAGTCAGACAGATAGGCCAGAAGACCTCGCTCTACCTCGCTGCTCACCCAGACCACGTGTGGAAGGACCGACTTCCTGCCGTCCCGGCCCTGCGGACAGACATCGGAGGAGATCATCGAATGGCAACCTTGAGACCACGCCCCAAACGGGACCCGTGTCATTACTTCACATGTACACTAGATGGCCACAGTGACGGCACACGCCAGAGGGACACAGTGCACCAGAGGGACACAATGACCGCACATGTGCACCAGAGGGACACAATAACCGCACATGTGCACCAGAGGGACCGCACACAATAACCGCACATGTGCACCAGAGGGACACAATGACCGCACATGTGCACCAGAGGGACCGCACACAATGACCGCACATGTGCACCAGAGGGACACAATGACCGCACATGTGCACCAGAGGGACACAATGACCGCACATGTGCACCAGAGGGACACAATGACCGCACATGTGCACCAGAGGGACACAATGACCGCACATGTGCACCAGAGGGACACAATGACCGCACATGTGCACCAGAGGGACACAATGACCGCACATGTGCACCAGAGGGACACAATAACCACACATGTGCACCAGAGGGACACAGTGACCGCACATGGGCGCCAGAGGGACACAATACCCGCACTTGTGCACCAGAGGGACACAATGCACCAGAACCACATGTGCACCAGAGGGACACAGTGCACACATGTGCACCAGAGGGACACAATAACCGCACATGTGCACCAGAGGGACACAATAACCGCACATGTGCACCAGAGGGACACAATAACCGCACATGTGCACCAGAGGGACACAATAACTACATGCACACTAAAGGGTCACAGCACCTGTGTGCACATGCAAAAATTACTCATGCGCACTAGAGAGACTCAATAACCACGCATGTGCACTAGAAGGACACAATTACTCATGTGCACTAGAGGGAGTCAATAACCAGGAATATGCACTAGAAGGACACAACAATTACACATGTGCACTAGTGGGACTCAATAACCACGCATGTGCACTAGAGGGACACAATTACTCATGCATACAAGGGATTACAGACTTCCAGGTTACGTAGATGTAGCCCCTAAGTGGGTGCATTTAGTTTGCTGTGTTCAATGCCATGAGCAGGATTTGAATGGAGGATACCAGTGCTGCAAGGCAGAAGTGCTAACCACCAAGCCGTCCTAATCATACTGCTGCTCAGGTTACTGTGTATTATAAACCATTGGCAGTTTTTCTACAAAATTAAATTTTTTTACCGTTTATCTCGGTGCTGCTGCTCTCCTGCAGCCTCTTTGCAGCCACTTCCACTCTACATGCCCTCCAGCTATGACAGCACGCCATTTTTTGGGGGCCGGTTCCCTGATAGTGACAGCAGTAGACCTTGCCTGTGTCCTGTGTGTTGAAAAGCTAGTATGACAACACAGGAGCAGGACTGGGATCCAAGGACAGCGTTGTCACCCTATAACAGGAAGTGCCTAAAAAGGACTTTTAAGGCAGGATCACCAGAGGAGATTGTAACGATGGCTGCAAGTTTCAAGGGATTGAAAATGACCGTGAAGGATTGCGTGTGCAGGAACTGTATGAAGGTCGGTGTAACATACGTGAAGAGGAGCGGCGGGCACATGATGCATCTGGGTGAGGGCGGAGTCATCCATGCTGCCAAGGCGTTCGATTGGCTCCTTGCCCCAGGGGAAGTCATACTGTATGATGGTCAGTTTCCTTCCTTCTTCGTCTTGGTGGTCACCGCTGCTGAATCTGGATGGCACCTGAGCAAACTGGACACAGAGGGGGAGGGGCGATAAAATGGCGCCATCCAGGCATGCAACCACAGAGGGAAATAAAGATAATATCTTACAAATATCCCCCAATTTCATGGCGGCTCGTGGAAAGTCGCAGCGTCACTCACCTTCCTCCACCACAGCAGCCGCTGCCGCAGCCAGAAGTCCCGCCACTGAGCGCAAGTCTTGGCTGAGCTGAACCAGACCAGAGACGCCGCCGTCCTCTCCGACACCCTGCAGAGGGAAAGAAAATCCATCGATTATCGGGAGGTAATGGCCCCATAAATATCATCCTATTCCTGGACTTTAGCCCCACCCCCGCCCTCTCCTGTCTGCCAAAAACCATCGCTGTCAGCGGGATTCTGTCTCTTGATTTTCACATATTTTGCACCGGTTGAGTAAATCTGCGACCTGAGAGTCATGTGACCTCCAATCTCCTTCCCCGGGTCACTGCGGACAGTCACTACATCTGCACTGCGGGACAATGTCAGACTTGAGAAAGACAAATGGAAAATGCCTTCCACTCCCCACCCCCATATTACTATGACCCTTACAAGATGGCTGACCTGCAGGTGTCGGGGTTCTCCTCGCCTGTGATTGGCTGAAAACATCTCCCCACCTCTGCTATACCAAACGGCAGCTTTCTGTTCAGGAGCTCCAAACAAGACGGGTAACAATACAGAGCACCTAGGAATTGGAAACACAATTTACAACATCAAAATTCTCTGCCCCTCCCACAATGGGGAGAATTTCTGCAGTAGTCTGTGTCTCTGCCCCTCCCACAATGGGGAGATTTCCTGCAGTAGTCTGTGTCTCTGCCCCTCCCACAATGGGGAGAATTTCCTGTGTCGTTTGTGCCTCTGCCCCTCCCACAATGGGGAGAATTTCCTGTCGTTTGTGCCTCTGCCCCTCCCACAATGGGGAGATTTCCCCCAGTAGTGTCTCTGTTTCTCTAGTTTGTGTCTGCCCCTCCCACAATGGGGAGATTTCCCCCAGTAGTTTGTGTCTCTGCCCCTCCCACAATGGGGAGATTTCCTGTGTAGTTTGTATCTGCCCCTCCCACAATGGGGAGATTTCCTGCAGTAGTTTGTGTCTCTGCCCCTCCCACAATGGGGAGATTTCCCTCCATGTAGTTTGTGTCTCTGCCCCTCCCACAATGGGGAGATTTCCCTGCAGTAGTTTGTGTCTCTGCCCCTCCCACAATGGGGAGATTTCCCTGCAGTAGTTTGTGTCTCTGCCCCTCCCACAATGGGGAGATTTCCCTGCAGTAGTTTGTGTCTCTTCCCCTCCCACAATGGGGAGATTTCCACCAGTAGTTTGTGTCTCTGCCCCTCCCACAATGGGGTCATTTGTGTCGTTACCATATAGGAGATCTTGGCGAAGGGTGGCCATCGTTTCCAGCTCCTCCTGGGTTGGGCCTTGGTTTTGGAGGCGGTCCAGATGCCACTGGGGGAGGGTCTTCAGCGGTGGTCTGGGTGAAGAGTTGGATGCCCCAGGTAGGTGACACAAAGAGTCAATGGGCAGAACCTGCTCCTGATGCAGCAACATGGCGTCCCACCATTCCTTCACCAAGTTCCTTTTCATTTGGGCTCCCAGGGGCCCCAGACTATGACGTCCCCCTAGAACAGAGGCCGGACTCATCTCCTCTCCTAATAGGAAGCCCCTTCCACGACACAGATCCAGAAGATCATCGCTTGTACGCCCTCCGGCTGCCAGCCTCCTGCACTGCAGCAGTAGAGAAGCCCGAGATGTCCTCCTTGTCCGCCTGACCAGGGCCAGCGCACACCCAGACATGGCGGATCGCGGTCACCTGACGCAATATGGCCTCCGCTGGGGGATGGTACATAGCTCTGTCCTACAAGGGAAGGACGCAGAAGGATACTGTGAGAATCAGCATGGCACTGTCCAAAGCAGCCAATCAGAGGTCAGCTCTAACCTTTACTGTAAATCCTCACCTGCTCCTGGTCTGTAGATACAGAGGTAAGCCAGTCACACATGGGGAGGGGACATACAATGTACACGGCTCACAAAATGAAAGGAAGTCCGGCATCAAGTCCATGACCCTCCTGGGATATGGATCTGGTCAGGTAAGTAGCGGAGGGGGTTGTACATCAGTTTCAGCTGCTTTGGTGTTCATGAAACTAACAACAGGGGCACTAGATGGGCAACAATGAGACCACCCCCAAAACAGGAATGGGTTAACAGATGGAGGCCACTGACATTTTTTCCCCTCCTCACCTTTTCTGACTGTTTTCCCTCGTTCTGCATTTGGCTCGGGTCAGTGTCACTACTGGTAGCATGAGGCCATACCTGGACCCTACAGAGGTTGTACAGGCAGTCCAACTCCTCCAGGATGGCCCATCAATACCTCCCATTGCCAGAAGGTATGCTGTGTCTCCCAGCACAGTCTCAAGAGCATGGAGGAGATTCCAGGAGACGAGAGCGCGGAAGAGATTCCGGGAGACCAGAGCGCGGAGGAGATTCCGGGAGACCAGAGCGCGGAGGAGATTCCGGGAGACCAGAGCGCGGAGGAGATTCCGGGAGACCAGAGCGCGGAGGAGATTCCGGGAGACCAGAGCGCGGAGGAGATTCCGGGAGACGAGAGCGCGGAGGAGATTCCGGGAGACCAGAGCGCGGAGGAGATTCCGGGAGACCAGAGCGCGGAGGAGATTCCGGGAGACAAGAGCGCGGAGGAGATTCCGGGAGACAAGAGCGCGGAGGAGATTCCGGGAGACAAGAGCGCGGAGGAGATTCCGGGAGACAAGAGCACGGAGGAGATTCCGGGAGACTAGAGCACGGAGGAGATTCCGGGAGACTAGAGCACGGAGGAGATTCCGGGAGACTAGAGCACGGAGGAGATTCCGGGAGACTAGAGCACGGAGGAGATTCCGGGAGACTAGAGCACGGAGGAGATTCCGGGAGACTAGAGCACGGAGGAGATTCCGGGAGACTAGAGCACGGAGGAGATTCCAGGAGACAAGATGTCAGGGCTCCGGGTATGACCAGAGGTATGTGAACTGACGCAGGGAAACGCAGGCTTCAGATATGTTATAAACAATATAATTTATTAATACTAACAATACATAAACGCAGTGCAATACTAAACATAATACAGTGCAAACAAACCAACCAACCACAGATAACAATACATACAATGCAAGCGTCGTCAGGCAGGCCGGGTCAATAACAATCGGGCAGGTAGGAACAGGAGGAGCAGGCAGAGAGTAGTCAGGTCACGAGCCGGGTACAGCAACTAACGGGCAGGTAGGTACAGGGGGTCAGGCAGAGAATGGTCGGGGGTCACAAGCCAGGGATCAAACAGGAGAAGTCAGCAGAGGTCCGGATCAGGCAGGGTCAGCAACGAATCAGTCAGACAGGACCAGGAACGCAGGTAACAAGATACAGGGGCCCATAGAAAACCACCCACCAAGGCGCAGACTGCAGGTCTGGCCATCCCTTAAATACACCTGTGATCAGCCTCAGGTGTTTTGGCTGACTGCAGGGTTGAGTCTCTGATTGCTGAGAGCACCCGCTGGCCAGCCCTGGTACTGCAGCCCACAAGGCAGGTGAGTCCCACCATTACTGGCAAGTCCATTCCTGACAGTACCCCCCCCTCAAAGAGCGGCCTCAGGACGCTCCAAACAGTCCTAGCTGGGCAAAATGTTCCACCACCCGGGTCTGGTAACTGGCGGGATATCAAAGACTGGCACATCGGGCTGGACTCCGGGCAGAGGCACATCGGGCTGGACCCCGGGCAGAGGCACATCGGGCTGGACTCCGGGCAGAGGCACATCGGGCTGGACTCCGGGCAGAGGCACATCGGGCTGGACTCCGGGCAGAGGCACATCGGGCTGGACTCCGGGCAGAGGCACATCGGGCTGGACTCCGGGCAGAGGGCACATCGGGCGGACTCCGGGCAGAGGCACATCGGGCTGGACTCCGGGCAGAGGCACATCGGGCTGGACTCCGGGCAGAGGCACATCGGGCTGGACTCCGTGCAGAGGCACATCGGGCTGGACTCCGGGCAGAGGCACAGGGCCCCCAGGAGGGGCGGCAGGCGCAGGGACCCCAGGCGGGGCGGCAGGCGCAGGGCCCCCAGGGGGCGGGGCGGCAGGCGCAAGGCCCCCAGGCAGGGGTGGGCAGGCGCAGGGCCCCCAGGCGGGGCGGCGGGCGCAGGGCCCCCAGGCGGAGCGGCGGGCGCCGGGCCCCCAGGAGGGGCGGCGGGCACCAAGTCATCAGGCACGACAGTGGGCATCGGGTCACCAGGCATCAGGTCATTTGGCTCGACAGCGGGCGCCGCGTCATCTGGCACCGAGTCAATTGGCACGACAGCGGGCACCGGGTCATCAGGTACCGGATCGTCATGGCTCAACAGCAGGCACCGGGTCATCTGGCGCTGGATCGTCTGGCTCGACAGCGGGCATCGGGTCACCAGGCATGACAGCGGGCACTGGGTCATCAGGCATTGGATCGTCTGGCTCGACAGCGGGCATCGGGTCACCAGGCATGACAGCGGGCACTGGGTCATCAGGCATTGGATCGTCTGGCTCGACAGCGGGCATCGGATCACCAGGCATGACAGCGGGCACTGGGTCATCAGGCATTGGATCGTCTGGATCGACAGCGGGCATCGGGTCACCAGGCATGACAGCAGGCACTGGGTCATCAGGTACCGGATCGTCTGGATCGACAGCGGGCACCGGGTCATCAGGCATTGGATCGTCTGGCTCGACAGCGGGCATCGGGTCATCAGGCATTGGATCGTCTGGCTCGACAGCGGGCATCGGGTCATCTGGCGCATTGGATCGTCTGGCTCGACGACATCGGGCGGGCATTGGGTCACCAGGCATGACAGCGGGCACCGGGTCATCAGGTACTGGATCGTCTGGCTCAACAGCAGGCACCAGGTCATCTGGCGCTGGATCGTCTGGCTCGACAGCGGGCATCGGGTCACCAGACATGACAGCAGGCACTGGGTCATCAGGTACCGGATCGTCTGGATCGACAGCGGGCACCGGGTCATCAGGCATTGGATCGCCAGGCTGGGTACAGACATCAGGCTGGGTACAGACATCAGGCTGAAGTGCGGGTGCCTGAGGCACCAGGCTGAACCACGAAAGGCAGGTTCTGAGACGGCAGGCTCACCGGTTTGGATACTGGCAGGATGGTACTGGTTGGAAAGAATTTTTCGCTTTTTTTCTGGTTTTAACTACTGGGGCACTGCAAGTAAACGCAGGTCTGCAAACGAATGGAGCAGCTGAGGACAGAGAAGAGCTGGAGGATGGAACAGAGGAGGGAGCGGTTGCTACAGAGGACTTCTTTACAGGGTTAAAGAAAGGATAGGTGCAGCGAGTGGGAGCAGAGGACTGGTATGTGGTAGTTAGCAGAGTATACTGGGCCGTCACTGGGGGTGCTGTCGGGGATGCAGGAAGAGTGCCTTGAGCAGAGGAATGACGTTGCAAGCTGACTGAGGCTGGGTGCAACAAGTCTGACCATGTCTGCAGTAATGGAGTTGAACAAAGCTCAGCTTACACAAAGCCTGTCTGGTCAAAGACTGCACTGCGTTTATACAATCTCTTAGTGTCTGTGGTGAACATGCAGCATAATGCTCCAAGAAGTAATCCACATCATCCTCTAATAACCATACCAGGGACTCTAAATGGTGGCAAAAATTCATCCCTGCATTCGGGGGTACCAGATGAAGCCAACTCTACACAAACCTGAATCAATGGCTGCACCTCAGAGAACTCTGTGCCCTGATCTACTCGAACATGAGCGATCCGTATACATTCTAGCAGTTGATCCCGGGTATACTCCTTCAGGGTCTGATAAGCATACTCCCTGTCATCAAACACTAGCAGAGATAAATAAATACACAACCTCATCCAGATCCATCCTTCCCAGCAACAAGCCAAGATGGCTTCCCTGTGCAGCCACTTCTGGTCAGGATTGGCCTTGGTGTAATATCAGGGCTCCGGGGTGTGACCAGAGGTGTGTGACTGACGCAGGGAAACGCAGGCTTCAGATAAGTTATAAACAATATAATTTATTAATACTAACCATAAACGCAGTGCAATACTAAAACATAATACAGTGCAAACAAACCAAACCAACCACCCACAGATAACAATACATACAAGCAAGCGTCGTCAGGCAGGCCGGGTCAATAACAATCGGGCAGGTAGGTACAGGGGGTCAGGCAGAGAATGGTCAGGGTCACAAGCCAGGGATAAAACAGGAGAAGTCAGCAGAGGTCCGGATCAGGCAGGGTCAGCAACGAATCAGTCAGACAGGACCAGGAACGCAGGTAACAAGATACAGGGGCCCATAGAAAAAACCACCCACCAAGGCGCAGACTGCAGGTCTGGCCATCCCTTAAATACACCTGTGATCAGCCTCAGGTGTTTTGGCTGACTGCAGGGTTGAGTCTCTGATTGCTGAGAGCACCCGCTGGCCAGCCCTGGTACTGCAGCCCACAAGGCAGGTGAGTCCCACCATTACTGGCAAGTCCATTCCTGACACAAGAGCACGGAGGAGATTCCGGGAGACCAGAGCACGGGGGAGATTCCGGGAGACCAGAGCACGGGGGAGATTCCGGGAGACCAGAGCACGGGGGAGATTCCGGGAGACCAGAGCACGGGGGAGATTCCGGGAGACCAGAGCACGGGGGAGATTCCGGGAGACCAGAGCACGGGGGAGATTCCGGGAGACCAGAGCACGGGGGAGATTCCTGGAGACGAGAGCACGGGGGAGATTCCTGGAGACGAGAGCAGGTTCACCCTGAGCACATGTGACAGACATGAAGGGGTCTGGAGAAGCCGTGGAGAACGTTCTGGTGCCTGTAACATGGTTCAGCATGACCGTTCTGGTGGTGGGTCAGTGATGGTCTGGGGAGGCATCTCCATGGAGGGACACACAGACCTCTACAGGCTAGACAATGGCACCCTGACTGCCACTGGGTATGGGGATGAAATCCTTGAACCCATTGTCAGACCCTACGCTGGTGCAGTGGGTCCTGGGTGCCTCCTGGTGCAGGGGGTCCTGGGTTCCTCCTGGTGCAGGGGGTCCTGGGTTCCTCCTGGTGCAGGGGGTCCTGGGTTCCTCCTGGTGCAGGGGGTCCTGGGTTCCTCCTGGTGCAGTGGGTCCTGGGTTCTCCTGGTGCAGTGGGTCCTGGGTTCCTCCTGGTGCAGTGGGTCCTGGGTTCCTCCTGGTGCAGTGGGTCCTGGGTTCCTCCTGGTGCAGTGGGTCCTGGGTTCCTCCTGGTGCTGTGGTCCTGGGTTCCTCCTGGTGCAGTGGGTCCTGGGTTCCTCCTGGTGCTGTGGTCCTGGGTTCCTCCTGGTGCAGTGGGTCCCGGGTTCCTCCTGGTGCAGACAATGCCCGGCCTCATGTAGGAGAGTATGCAGGCAGTTCCTGGAGGATGAGGGAATTGATACCATTGAATGGCCCCCACGCTTGACTGACCTAAATCCAATAGAACCCCTGTGGGATGTCATGTTTCGGTCCATCCGACACCACCAGGTTGCACCTCAGACTGTCCAGGAGCTCAGTGATGCCCTGGTCCAGATCTGGGAGGAAATCCCCCAGGACACCATCCATGGTCTTATTAGGACCCTCCCCCGACATTGTCAGGCATGCATACAAGCACGTGGGGGCCACACAGACTACTGAGGACCATTCTGAGTTGCTGCAATGACATTTCACCAACATGGACTCGCCTGCTGCATCATTTCTTCACTTTGATTCTCAGGGTGTCTGTGAATTCAGTCCTCTGTAGGTCCATCATTTCCATCCAACGATGGGGGCGTCCTTACGTTCCTCACCCATCCCCCGTCCATGTCAGGATAGAGATCCAGCAGGAGGTTCCTCCCCATTCAGGTTTGATGGGTTTTCAGAGTCTTCCTTTCATTTTTTTGGAGCCGTGTGTATATATATATATATATATAGAGGGGACGTGGAGACGGTACAGGGAGGAGACGTACACCCCGATACCGTGTATATATATATAGAGGGGACATGAAGACGGTACAGGGAGGAGACGTACACCCCGATACCGTGTATATATATATATATATATAGAGGGGACATGGAGACGGTACAGGGAGGAGACGTACACCCCGATACCGTGTATATATATATATATAGAGGGGACGTGGAGACGGTACAGGGAGGAGACGTACACCCCGATACCGTGTGTATATATATATATATATATATATAGAGGGGACGTGGAGACGGTACAGGGAGGAGACGTACACCCCGATACCGTGTATATATATATATAGAGGGGACGTGGAGACGGTACAGGGAGGGGATGTACACCCCGATACCGTGTATATATATATATATATATAGAGGGGACGTGGAGACGGTACAGGGAGGAGACGTACAGCCCGATACCGTGTATATATATATATATATATAGAGGGGACGTGGAGACGGTACAGGGAGGAGACGTACAGCCCGATACCGTGTATATATATATATATATATAGAGGGGACGTGGAGACGGTACAGGGAGGAGACGTACACCCCGATACACACAACACACATATACATCACTAACCTACAGGAATGAACTTCCTCCACGTGCTACCACCCCGCACAGCACGCTAGAGGGCGCCCGCCTCCTTCCCTGCCCATTGGGGGGCGTGTCCTGTGTGAGTGACCTCACTTGCAAGGGCGGGACATGCGTTCCAGGTCTCTCTTCTCTTTCTAAGGCGTGTCCCGCATTTCACAGCCTTGTTGTAGAGGGGGCGTGCCTTGCGGTTCATACCTCGCTGTTTGATCTGTGGGCGTGCTTTGCGGTTCACACCTCCCTGTTTGATCTGTGGGCGTGCCTTGCTGTTTACACCTCGCTGTAAGATCTGTGGGCGTGCCTTGCGGTTCATACCTCGCTGTTTGATCTGTGGGCGTGCTTTGCTGTTCACACCTCGCTGTATGATCTGTGGGCGTGTTTGCGTTACAGAGCTCAGTAAGAGGGCGTGGTTTGCGTTGCACACCTCCCTATCTAGTCGTTGCGTTCCACGGCTCAGCGTGTCACGCCTCCTTGTCTTTGCGTTTCATAGATCACCGTGTGGGCGTGCTTTGCGTTCCAAGCCTCTCTATGAAGCACATCCTGCTGCCCACGCCTCCTTGTGATCTGCAGACTTCCGGTAGCAGTGACTCCTCTGTAGATGGAGGATTCTGGTGTGTGAAGTGAGGAGTTAAGACTAGGAAATGCTGTGCACACGGTGCTCTGGGCCTACTTCTTCCATCACTAATACTATAATAAATGTTCCTGGCTATGGCGAAGGGTCAGTCCACCTAAATGTGATATTTCAGATGTCACCCACCATGGGGGTTCCTATATTAATGACCACCACCCCTGAGAAGGCCATTCACACCCTTTACATTCTGCCAATGTGCCCACTCGCCCGCTCTCATGCAGGGGATCCAATCACAATGGCATCCAATGTAGCTTTACACATTACCAGAACACATCAGGCTGAAATCTGGGGCCCCCGTTGGGTGAAGGTTCCCCTCCCCCAACTCCATTTTTGTCCTTCCACTGCAGCATGTTGCACCACACAAACAATATTTCTGCTGTGTACAAATTAGTGTTACTAAACACTGGACTCGGCCTTCGCCATATCCGCTCTCCCCGGGCCCCGCCTTTGCCGTATCCGCTCTCTCCGGGCCCCGCCTTTGCCGTATCCGCTCTCCTCCGGGCCCCGCCTTTGCCGTATCCGCTCTCTCCGGGCCCCGCCTTCGCCGTATCCGCTCTCTCCGGCCCCGCCTTCGCCGTATCCGCTCTCTCCGGGCCCCGCCTTCGCCGTATCCGCTCTCTCCGGGCCCCGCCTTCGCCGTATCCGCTCTCCCCGGGCCCCGCCTTCGCCGTATCCCGCTCTCCCCGGGCCCCGCCTTCGCCGTATCCGCTCTCTCCGGGCCCCGCCTTCGCCGTATCCGCTCTCCCCGGGCCCCGCCATTCGCCGTATCCGCTCTCCCCGGACCCCGCATTCACTGTATCCGCTCTCCCCGGACCCCGCATTCACTATATCCGCTCTCGGACCCCCGGACCCCGCATTCACTATATCCGCTCTCCCCCGGGACCCCGCATTCACTATATCCGCTCTCCCCGGACCCCGCATTCGCTATATCCGCTCTCCCCGGACCCCACCTTCGCCATATCCGCTCTCTCTGGACCCCGCCTTCGCCGCATCCCGGACCCCACATTCACTATATCCACTCTTCCCCGGGCCCCGCCTTCGCTGTATCCGCTCTCTCTGGACCCCACATTCACTATATCTGCTCTCCCAGGCCCCGCCTTCGCCATATATCCGCTCTCCCCGGACCCCACATTCACTATATCCTGCTCTCCCCGGACCCCGCCATTCACTATATCCGCTCTCCCCGGGCCCCGCCTTCGCCTATATCCGCTCTCCCCGGACCCCACATTCACTATATCCACTCTCCCCGGACCCCGCATTCACTATATCCGCTCTCCCCGGACCCCACATTCACTATATCCTCCCCGGACTCTCCCCGGACCCCGCATTCACTATATCCGCTCTCCCACAGTACACAGAACATGGAAATGCTATTATTGTTGTAAATATACATATGCTATAAGGCTGCAAGACCCCTGACCCTCTGGGCTGGAGCGTGCAGCTTGCCCCCCCCGGTTCTGTTTTATCAGCAGTTGGATTGGGGACAGTGAAAGGGGAGGACCATAGAAGACAGGATCAAACAGCATTTTTTTTTTTTCACACAATTGAGGTTAACCACAAGATTCTGCAGTGACATTTCTGTAGTTGTACAAACCCCCCCCCCCCCCCCCCCCCTACACAGTGCAATGCTTAGTAATCAGTGTAGTGGTATAATCTGCTTCCCAATGCGCACTTGTCATGAGGAGACATACCGGCATAGCAGGGCGCTGCCACACATGGCCGTGCATTGGGATGACACAGAAATATCGGGTTCTCTAGGAATGTTCAGGTATGGGCAGCCTCAAGATTTGGGAGGTAGTAAGAGCAGGAATGAGGCGGAGCATACTGCAGAAACATTTATTAAACACAAATATCCAAACTTATATTGGTGGGAAAGAAGTGCTGCATGACCGTGGAGGGAAACCACGCATGTGTGGGGGGAAGCCAAAGTCTGCAGCAGCTGGCAAAAACAGTAAGGCGGACCCGTGGGAGCAGTCTATGACAGCCCTCAAACAGGGCTAGACCTGGGGTGTGAAAAGGGGTGTGTACAATGTGATTTACAAGCCCCACCTACTTTTTCAGTCTCTACATGCAAGCAGCACTTCCTTTACCCTTGAAGCAACTTTGGATATTTGTCTACCAAATGTTACACTTTTACTCCTTTTATTCCTGGATTTGGCTACTTAGTTTCTCCACATCAGGGGGTCTCCAAACCTTCTAAACAAAAGGGCCAGTTTACTCTTCTTCAGACTTTAGGGAACCGGAGTGTGGCCAATGGGAGTAGAAACTGTCCAGGCATCTTCCAGGCAACTTTGGTATTACACCCCCCGGATCACATCAAACCCTACAGTGAAGGCACATAATTTCAAAGTCTGATGCCGATTTCAGGTGCAATTTGCAAGATCGCACCAAAAGTAGTCCAAGTACTATAGAAATCAGTGCAGCTCCAACCAAGTCAGAACCACACCAATATGACCAAATTGCAGACAATAGGCCCCATCGTTTGTGTCCATGTTACTGAAGATCCATAGCTACAAACCCTCATCCAACCATCCCTGGATTTCTACTCAGTGGCCTTCACCTATTAGGTGCTGATCACAGAAATCCTCATGTTGCATGACTAGCCTCTGAGCATCTTCTGCTGGAATAAAGGGTTTTGATCCATTTCCTTTCATGTGTTTTTTTTTGTCCATTTAGCTACCACTTCCTCATTGACAAACATCTTGGGACTCTGAGTGTTGGGAGATAATCAATGATGTAGGATGGGCTGTAGGCCTGAGGATCCTTTCTTGGTGAGATCACCGTGCCCAGAGAAGGAGCTCACACTGCTCCGCATGGAGAAGTGTTGGGGTTCTCTACAATTCAGATGTGAGGACCTGGTGATTAAGGCCCCTTCCACAATTATTCTGTTCAGGTGCACCAGATTGGAAGATCCATGGAGGGCTATGGAAAGGCAGGTCTAAATAGACTTCTGATCACACTCACCTACCCAAAGATCTGCACAGGATAGAAAACATTTTTTGAACCGGTTCCATTTTGGCATACCTCACTTATTTAGCATAACAGAATGACTGTAGCAGTATGTGAAAGGATAATGTCTTCACACCCACCACTCCAGATGATAGGTGGTTCAACTGACAGGAAGACCCCATCAGACCACTGGTGTAAAAAGGGCCCCAACCTCCTTTCTTGGTGATTTCAACCCATTTCTTGATAGTAAAATGTAGTTTTGTGACATATGTGGGCAGTTCCTTTTGGAGATGGGAGGGTTACCATCTTCAGTAATGGCATCGCCAGAAATTCCCTTACTGAGATGTAGGCAGTCATTACCCTGTCTGTACCTGACCAAGCATTAAAGAGTAGTCAGGCCTGAACAAGATTCTGGGCCGGTGACTTGTCAAGCCAGTGAGACCCGCCTTTCCATAGCCCTCCATGGATCTTCCAATCTGGTGGACCTGAACAGAATGGCTATATGGAAGGGGCCTTGATCACCAGGTTCTCCCAGCTGCTCCATTCATCTACCTGAACTGGAGAGAACCCAAACACTACCATGCTTAATGGTTTGCATCATGTGGTGAACAATCAGTATTTGCTCTCGTGAAGTCTTCTCTTCATTGTAGACTGAAGGATAGGCCCACCTCATGGAGTGTCCTTCACTTGTCTGAATGTTGTGAATGGGTTTTTCTTTACCACAGACCGCATCCTGAGAGCAACCACCACTGTCATCTTCCATGGATGTCCATGCCTCTGTTGCTGAGCTCAACAGTGCATGCTTTCCTCAGAATGTACCAAACTGTTCATTTAGCCACTCCTAATGTTGCCGCTATCATGGATGTTTGGTTTCTGAAGCTTTACAGTGGACTATTTCACTTACATGGACGTCTCCTTTGAATGCATGATGTAGGTTCCAAATATCGCACTTATCAACTGCAGACCTTTTGCCCACTTCATTAATAATGGAGTAGCCCACACCTGGCCATGAAAGCTTTTGATTCAACTGTCAAATTACTTTTGGCCCCTTAACAAAGGGGGGGTGTGGCTACTCTTCAGAGCTGTAATCCCTAAAACCTTCCCCCAATATGGATGTACATACCCTCAAATTAAACCCGAGATTGTACACTTTCAGCCCACACCCACAACTATGAGTATGTTTTGATAAATACCTGAAAACTAAAATGGTGCCTTTGTCCAAATATATATGGACTTAACTGTATCTCTTAATGGAGATTGAGGGCTATGAACACCATGTATAAAATATCAGTGGTTCATATAGGTGAACTCTGGAGACTTCAGGGTGAATAATTCTACATAGAAGGGGGCACACCAAGTCTGAAGGAAAAGATTCTCCAAACACAGAAAGGTTTCTTCACAGTAAGAGCTGTGAGAATGTGGAATAGACTCCCTCCAGAGTTGGGTGTGGCCAGCTCAGTGGATTGCTGTAGGAAAGTCCTGGTTTCTCTTGGATACACAGAATATAACATTTATAGGGAAAATTGATCCAAGGAATATCCGATTGCCTCTCGAGGGATCAGGAAGGAATTTTTTCCCTGCAGGAGCAAATTGGATTGTGCTTTGCTGGGTTTGGTCTTCCTCTGGATCAACTGTGGGTGTAGGATGACTCATGGCTGAGCTAGATAGACTTGTCTTTTATTAAGACAGACTAACTGGTTTGGCATTTAGCCTTGGTACCTTTAAATGAGCTTTATGAATTCCTCATCCAATCCCCATCGCCACCTATAGGCCAACTCCCAATGAACACACATTTACCAACTACAGATTGAGTTAAATGATCTTTATTGAAGGCCATGCGCTGCCCCCATTACAGTACTGGAAATCACTGTACAATAAACTTTGAAACACTGGCTGCATTTTCTAGTACAAAAAAAGAACTAAAAACATCTTCCGGAATGTCGAGAAAAACAGTCAAACTTAAATAGTGAAAAAAGTGCACTACAGTCGCTGCCATGCAGCGGACATTAACTCTCTCCTGTAGAGACTTCTTAAATAGCTATCCTGTTCCTTGAAAACACAATATAAAGAGCAAATATGGGAAAATAAAATAAAGACACTAGACTGTGCGTGTTTATTGTGTGTAGGCTGCCGGCATAGGATAACCTATCAGGGCAGGAGCTGTTGTGGTGGCAGTGGCGACTGGGTATGCTGTGTACGCCTGTTGCGCCATCCCGTTCTGCATGGCTGTGGCGTATTGCTGTCCGGCATTGTAGTTCTGGTAGGCGCCATTCTGCTGTGGGCCGCCCCTGTAGCCTCCTTGGTTGGCTCCGACACCGTAGCCGTTGCTGTAGGCGTTACCGTTGCTGTACTGCTGACCCCCAAAGCCATTCTGGGGCTTGTTTCCAAAGTCTCTCTTAGCACCAAACCCTCTGTTTTCCCGGTCCCACCCTCCCCGCTTGCCTGAAGAGAACCTGTCACGGCGGTCGTTCATTCCTCCACGGCCTCTGAAGCGCCCTGTGTTTAAGGAGAGGTTTCAGTTATGCGACACGAACATTAAATGTTGTGAAAGGTGTGCTACATTGAAGATCTGCTAACCGTAGACTGACGGCTATGTACACAGAGCATGCAATGGTCCAGTATTGTGACTACCGAAGACTTCCTGCTATGTACACAAAGCATGCCAGCGACTAGTATTGTGGAACCATTAGACTTCCTTCTATGAACCCCCAGAGAGCATGCAATGGTTTTGTATTGTGAATCTAGAAACCTTCTTGCTATGAACACCATCAGAGCATGAAAGTCTTGTATTGTGAATATAGAAGACTACCTGCTATGTCAGAGCATGCAACAGTCCATTATTGTGAATCTAGAAGATTTCCTGCCCTGAACCCATCAGAGCATGAAAGTCTTGTATTGTGAAGAATAATTCCTGCCATGAACCCCCATCAGAGTATGCAACGGTCTTGTATTGTGAATACAGAATACTTCCTGCCCTGAACCTCCGTCACAGCATTAAACAGTCTTGTATTGTGAATACTTTGCATCAACCACTGTCATAGCATGTAATGGTCTCGTATTGTGAATACTTACTACCAAGAAGCAGTCAGAGCATGTAATGGTCTCATTGTGAATACTTTCTGCCATGAACCCCCCATCAGAGCATGCAATGGTCTCATATTGTGAATACTTTCTACCAAGAACCCGTCAGAGCATGCAATGGTCTTGTATTGTGAATACTTTCTGCCATGAACCCATCAGAGCATGTAATGGTCTTGTATTGTGAATACTTTCTACCAAGAACCCATCAGAGCATGCAATGGTCTTGTATTGTGAATACTTTCTGCCATGAACCCATCAGAGCATGTAATGGTCTTTTATTGTGAATACTTACTACCAAGAAGCAGTCATAGCATGTAATGGTCTCATTGTGAATACTTTCTGCCATGAACCCCCATCAGAGCATGGAAT